GAATAATGTATCTATTATTGATTGTTGTATGTTATTGTATATATTATAAGGAGATGTGCACTCTCTTTTATAGAGAGGAAAAGATACATATGGTGCCAATTAGCACCGAAAGCATAAAGCAAAGGGGGAATACTCATTATGAAAGCTAGACATAATGATACACTAACAATTATGAATAACACTACTAGATTACTATGGCTGTTTTACTTCAGCTATGGACCGCTACTTACCTCGACAATGCAGGGTGGTTGAAGATATTGATGATGGCCTACTTTTTCGGCTCTTTTCTCAACCACAACCTCTTCTTAGCCATTCATGAGCTCAGTCACAATCTTGCCTTCTCTACTCCCGTCTACAACCGCTGGCTTGGGATTTTCGCCAACCTCCCAATCGGTGTGCCCATGTCAGTCACCTTCCAAAAATACCACCTTGAGCACCATCGCTTCCAAGGAGTCGATGGCATAGACATGGACATTCCCAGCCTCACCGAAGCCCATCTTGTGACAAATGTTGTTGCAAAATCGATTTGGGTTGTTCTCCAACTCTTTTTCTATGCTCTCCGGCCTCTTTTCCTCAAACCAAAACCCCCGGGTTTGTGGGAATTCATCAATTTGATTATCCAACTAGCCCTTGATGCTTCCATGGTTTACTTTTGGGGTTGGAAATCTCTTGCTTATTTGATCCTTTCCACATTCCTTGGCGGTGGGATGCACCCAATGGCCGGTCATTTTATTTCCGAGCATTATGTGTTTAACAAGGATCAAGAGACCTATTCATACTACGGTCCCTTGAATCTTATGACATGGAGCGTAGGTTACCACAATGAACACCATGATTTCCCCAGAATTGCAGGGAGCAAGCTTCACAAGGTGAAGGAGATCGCTCCGGAATATTATGAGGGTATGGATTCGTATAAATCTTGGAGCCAGGTAATTTACATGTACATTATGGATCGATCAGTTGGACCCTTTAGCCGGATGAAGAGAGCGCTATCAACCAAGGCCACTAGGAAATCTGAATAAATGCTTTGTGAGATACTACTTGCTAGGGGTGCAACTCGGGCGGGTTCGGTCGGGTTGGGAGGTTGTCCAAGCCCAGCCCAAGTTATGCTGAGACATGTCCAAGCCCGCCCAAGCCCGAATTGTAACCCGAGGTTGTCTGCCCAAGCCCGACCCGAGTTAAACTCGAATTGCCCGAGTTGCCCAAATTACCCGAGTTGTAAACGAATATTTTTTTTTTTGCAGCTACTTTATTAAATTATTAAAATTTGACTCTATTTAATTTTTTATTTATTTATAGAAAATCATTAATACCATCAAAATAAATAATTTATATAATGTAAGAGAGATACTACTATAGTAGTCTTTACAATTTATGAGTGAAAATAAAAAGAAAAAAAAGAGTAAGATTTTATGTTATTTGTATATATAATATATATTCAATATGATTTAATAATATAAGTTATTTTAATATCATGTAATTGCTAATAATTTATATGTATATTTAATATTTTTATATATCTATATATATATATAATTCGGGCTTCGGGTTGCTCGGGTTGTTTGACGTCTTTGCCCAAATCCGTTTAAATTTAATTCGGGCTTCTGAATTTTTGCCTAAGCCGGTACCGAATTTGAAAATATTTTGTTCAAGTCCTAAATAAATTCGGGCTGGGCTCGGGTTGTTCGGGTTGAGCCCGCCCAAGTTGCACCCCTACTACTTGCTACCATTTTTTATTTCTGAACTCTATTGTTTGTAGCAGTTTTGAGGGAGATCGGTATTATAGATTATAGTTTTAGATTGACAAGTGAGGGATTAATTCATTGTTTACCAATTTTTAAAAGAAATTTTTGTTGTGTTGATCTGTGTTGCAAGAAGTGTTCATGTGTGTTGCTGTGACATATACGGTTCATAAACATGTTTGTTCTCTCTCTATCTCTCTCTCTCTGCACTTTGTATGTTTGTTGAGCAGACCAATCAAGCATTTTAGAGAAGGGGAAACTTCACACACACACGAATACATGTGACATTAGACATAGCTTCTGTGAGCATGTTCTCTTTGGTTTTTCGACTTCCTAGTGGACCGTTGGTTTTTTTGGGTAAGAATCTAAAATTCTCTCTCAAACCCTCCTAATATGTTTCGATGTAGATAATTTCTGTATATATAATGAATAAAATTCTAGGGAAATTTTCAACATGCACTGCTCATATGAGTGTTTGTTCAAACAGTTTAGGCTGCCAAGCATGAACACATAGCCTGCTTAACCATGACTGGTTTGGGTTGTTCCGTTTTTTGTTCTTATGTTGACTCAATTTTATGAGTTCAAAAGTTACAAGAATCAGTACAATTGATCTCAAGTTTTTCCAATTTGTTTGGTTTGGTTTTTAAAAACCGTTTTCTGACTTCTTCGTTTTTTGTTTTTTTTAATGTTTTTTTTTGTCTATAGTAAAAAAAATTTAAAATTTTATTCGTCTTTTTTTTAAGATGCACAAGCCCCCTTGAATGAGTTACACCTATAACTAGATCTTCCTGAAGACGGATGCAACGGAATTGGCATTGATAAGTGTTGTTGACTTAATATTTAGGTTTTGGCATAACAAAGCTAGCACTTTCTTTTTTCGCTTAGGCGCACAACGTGCCAAGCTGATCTTAAGTAATCATAGTTCATTGGATTCTAGAGTAACTACTTCGTTAGGATTGAGTTCATCTAAAAAATAAAAATAAAAACAGTTTGTGAAAAATCAAATAAAGCAATCCATTTTTGTAGAAGCTGATGGAAAACAATAGCTGCAATTTGATTCACTTGTTCAACTGAAAAAATGGAAAAGAGAGATATGGTAGGGAAGTTGAGGACATTGAATTACTTGGGTGAAGTTAAGAACTTCCATGTCTCATTCTTGTTGGAGTCAAAGGGCAAGTCTGCAGCGGTATAAGGAAGAGGCTGCACAGGGTACCCTAGAAATGGAAGCCTGGCTTGTGCATAATCATCTTCACTCTCATACTTTCTTCTCTCATCTTTCTCATGACTTCTTAAAACCGCGGCCAATCCGATTGAACATCCCTGCAGATGGGAAAACACTGTTTGGTATTGTTTTCAAAATATTTTGTTTTTTTCTGTTTTTGAAAACAAAAATAAATAATAATGAAGGTAACCTGTGCAAAGACAATGAACAACGCAATCCATTTGCAAATGTGGAAATTTGACTTCACAAAATCCTTGAAATCATCAAACCTCCCACTTGGATCTTCAGGCAAGTCCTGATGTTCAAAAATCACAGCAAGTGAGGACAGAATTATGGGAAGAGAAATAGAGAAGTCATCAGCCAACTGTTTTTGAAAATTATTTCAGAAATTTGTTTTGAAAATAACACAATCTTTTTTTTAAGAAATATCCAAAACTTGTTTTTAATTCGCATAAATAATAAAAACACCGGTTGCTTTTCATCGTTTTTATATTTGAAAATAATAAAATAAAAATAAAAACAAAAACTACAACCAAATGAACACATTACCTTCTCCCAATCAGAATTTAGGGATATGTCTACTGCCAATGCAGTCTCCACCAGGAGAAGGAAAAAAATCTCAACCATATACTTTGTTGGATTAAGGTCAAACATATTCAATGCATGAATACACTAATGCATATAGAGTAGTGTTAGTTAGGTGCATAGAAAAGTATTTTAAAAATAAATAAAATTAATGTTTGATTCGGATTTGTTTTGAGTGTTATCTTCATCGCACCCAGAATGAATATAGGTTGTACATTGAATTTTCTACACTAAATACAAAAATGAACACAGAACACAAACACATAACAATGGATAAGATTTTGTTTATGAGATCCACTTAAAAAGATTGTCGATCCATAAATATTGTATTTAATTATGTGATCATTTTTCTATGTTTCTAGGCTTATTTCACATATTAAATTTTCTATGCACATACATTATTGATGCTAAATAAGCACTAATATAATATACTAACAGCCCCCCTCAACCTCAAGGAGGATAGGTACTAACCAACTTGAGTTTGGAGAGAGTAACAAAACAGGAAAGTAAACTGATAAAAGAAAATAAAATAGGATAGGAGACACTGTATGGTCGTGTCGAACCGTTGGTGAAGACACTGTATGGTTGTGTCAGACCGTTGTAGGAGCTAACCGGAATCAATGTCGGGACAGTTATGGTCGTGTCGAACCGTTGGTGAAGACACTGTATGGTTGTGTCAGACCGTTGTAGGAGCTAACCGGAATCAATGTCGGGACAGTTATGGTCGTGTCGAACCGTTGGTGAAGACACTGTATGGTTGTGTCAGACCGTTGTAGGAGCTAACCGGAATCAATGTCGGGACAGTTATGGTCGTGTCGAACCGTTGGTGAAGACACTGTATGGTTGTGTCAGACCGTTGTAGGAGCTAACCGGAATCAATGTCGGGACAGTTATGGTCGTGTCGAACCGTTGGTGAAGACACTGTATGGTTGTGTCAGACCGTTGTAGGAGCTAACCGGAATCAATGTCGGGACAGTTATGGTCGTGTCGAACCGTTGGTGAAGACACTGTATGGTTGTGTCAGACCGTTGTAGGAGCTAACCGGAATCAATGTCGGGACAGTTATGGTCGTGTCGAACCGTTGGTGAAGACACTGTATGGTTGTGTCAGACCGTTGTAGGAGCTAACCGGAATCAATGTCGGGACAGTTATGGTCGTGTCGAACCGTTGGTGAAGACACTGTATGGTTGTGTCAGACCGTTGTAGGAGCTAACCGGAATCAATGTCGGGACAGTTATGGTCGTGTCGAACCGTTGGTGAAGACACTGTATGGTTGTGTCAGACCGTTGTAGGAGCTAACCGGAATCAATGTCGGGACAGTTATGGTCGTGTCGAACCGTTGGTGAAGACACTGTATGGTTGTGTCAGACCGTTGTAGGAGCTAACCGGAATCAATGTCGGGACAGTTATGGTCGTGTCGAACCGTTGGTGAAGACACTGTATGGTTGTGTCAGACCGTTGTAGGAGCTAACCGGAATCAATGTCGGGACATGTATGGTCGTGTCGAACCGTTGGTGAAGACACTGTATGGTTGTGTTAGACCGTTGTAGGAGCTAACTGGAATCAATGTCGGGACAGTTTATGGGGTCATGTCGGACCGTTTTAGAAGCTGACCGGAATCAATGTCGGGACAGTTTACGGGGTCATGCCGGACCGTTGTAGTTGTAGAAGCTAACCGGAATCAATGTCGGGACAGTTTATGGGGTCATGCCGGACCGATGTAAAAGCTGACCGGAATCAATGTCGGGACAGTTTACGGGGTCATGCCGGACCGTTGTAGAAGCTTGTGGTGGTGCACCAAGGGGGCGACTTAGGAAGTGCGCCATGTGGTGGCTTGGGTGGTTCCCATGGTGTGTAACCATGCTCGCCATGATACATGATATATGTATAACCCCCCCCCTCAAACTCAAAGAGGTGTGAAGATAGAAACCTATTTGAGGTTGAAACAAAGGGAGTGAGAAAGTTGACCGTTGTAGAAGACACTGTATGAGTGTGTAGATAGGCTGCCCAAAAGAAATACATGTATATATACAGCGAGCCCTCAAAAGTCGCGCCCTCAAAAGGTGTGCCCAATCTGTCAAAAAGCGGGCCATCAAAAGGCGTGCCCAATCCATAAAAAGGCGTGCCATCAAAAGACGTGCCATCAAAAGGCGCGCCCAAGTTGTCGGCGAGTACCGAGAGGCGCATGATGCGCGTGTCTGCCTCTTCATCATGGTCTTTATAAACCGAAGCGGAGGCTGAGGCTTGGAAGCATAACAAACCAGTTGAAACCTCTTCGTTCTCTGAGAGCTTGTCGCTAAGAGCTGCAAATCTTGAAACACTCTGTAAACACTCTGTAACCAACCCGTCTCTGAAACACTCAGCAACCCATAACATGGCCTCGTCTTCCCGTTCAGCTACCCAGAATAGGGCCTCTTCGTCCCGTGGTCTGCTGACTCTCTTTCCCGACCTCAACGAGTTAACAAGAGAGATAACTGGTGCGGTGGCCAGTGAACCTCAACCAAGTGCTTCTGGTTTTGCTCCATTGAACTTTCCGATGCGGTCTGTGGAGCAAA